CACTGCCATGGAGAAATGCTGCATAGCCATTGGCCAATACTGCAATGGAAGACCTGACTGCACGAGGTTTGTGCGCGTGCCTTCAAGCATGTGCCTGATCTCCCTCTCCACAAACGACTTTGAACTGTCCACATACTCTGTTGATGTTTGATGTCTGTACCCCAACTCTGAAATTGTAGCAATAAGTTCTCGTGAATTGTCAGTGTAAACTGCCCCAACTTCATCCTTGTGAGATAAGAAGTGGTTGAAGGCATTAACACATGACTCACTCGATTTTGTCTGACTTGGATAGACGTGCCTGAACTGAGTGTGAATGTCCTTCATCACCAATGCCACTGTTTCACCTTTGACGCCTTCTTCCACATTGGATTTGATTACAGTATGGTCAGCGACAATGTGATCCCCAAAGCTTTTGGTTTCCAACCTTTTCTGTCCCCCTTTCTTCTTTGCGGGTGGCGCCATCATGCGCGCCTTCTGACAGATTTTGCAAAATGGATTCTTGGGGTAATGGCAAAACTGGTGAGATTTGCTGCATGCCTCTTGCTCAAGGTCAGATGCCTTTCTAGACCTGACGTACTCGGTTTCGCTATCATGAGCTACTCCCTCATCCACGCCTTCTTCATCGGCACCTTCTGCTTTTGCAGCAACCATTGCAAAAAGACGTAACAGATCACAATCTTTCTTGAACTGTCCACTGTTCAAAACACGACAAGAGCTATCAATAACCGGCACCCGGCCGTCTACATTAAGCTCGATGACTCCCATGTCCGGACGAATGAAGTAAGGCCTACCATCAGCTGGCCACACGAAACTGTAACCCTGTTCCATACACCTGACACCAACCGAAAGAACAGCAGGAGTTTCTTCGAGAATGTATGGTGAAAATGGCTGATGTAGGGCATCGACCTTTACGTCGGCCACCTCATCCGCTCGTGTCGAACCGTTTGCTGTAGCAAGGCTGATCGGAGTGTCGCTGACACGGCGGTTTGTCGCCTTTGCAGTCTTCAGCATACCCTCACTAATCAAATCCTGTTCACTGCCCGTGTCAACCAACCAAACACATCCATCTTTTGATGCCGGTGTAGCAACAGTGGGCAAATGAGTGTTACTGACTTTATTCTTGGGACCGATCATTGCTCTACAGTGGTTGCATGATACTCCCCCTTCTGGGTCATTGCATCGGAATCGGCATTTGGGCTGCGTCTCACTGCCGAAGAGCTTCACAAGTTCCTGCAACTGTCGGGCCGAAACCTGAGCACGGTGAGCCACGAGTTTGTCGGGTTTTGGCACTGACTCTGAATCAGGGAACGTCTTCTCATAGATTCGGGGTTTGTGCACTACCTTCCTCTGTTCACCTGTTGCTGGGACTTTGATGTATTCCACTTTTGATGAAAACACAATAGCTCTATGGCATTGTTCTTTCATGGCCTTTGTAGCTTTCGGCAACCCTTTTCCCTTTGCTATGCATGCATACCTTTGAGTAATGCATGGCGCAGCTTTTGCACTGGCCTTCTTCTTTGGTGCAGGGCTATTGGTGCGTTTTGGATCCTTTGTGGGTGCAGCTGCAACTTCATGTTTGTAAAAACATTTGTCACCACGACGACATTTGCCCTGTTGGAAGTAAGTGCATGGGATCTTGGCCATCTCTTCCTTTGACTTTCTGTTGGGGGAACCACTTCTGCTACCGCCTTTGCCCTTACCCTTCCTTTTGGGGGTGCCAGATCTTGAGGAATCTTTGACATGCTTGTAGGGACAGTCTTTACCCTTTTCGCACTTGCCATCCCTGAACTTGTAGCATATTTTCTCCCCTTTTCCGCTCTGGCTACGACCACGGGTTCGACCTCGGTCGCCCTTTCCTTTGCCGCGATCTTTGCCCCCCTGAGCGGGTGCAGCGGGCTGAGGCTTTTCGGTCTGCTTGTTCTTTTCAACGATTCTGTTTCTGTTTGAACGGAGTCTTTCTCTATCCAAAAGATCACGAATGTTTCTCAACAAGAATGCATAAGACTTTTGTTCTGACTTTTCAGGAGCTCTGTCGAATGCTTCGATGTCATACTTCATCAATTGACATTTTCGGATTTGTCTGAGTAAGATGTCTCTGAGAACCAAATCATCTGGCGGGGTTTCCATGCCGGCAATTGTGGCGTCCCATCGGTTCAGAAACCTTCTAAGGTCCTCCACAGATTCTCCAGTGCGAACGACTCCAAGTAGGTCCTCGACGCGGTAGAGACTGCCAGCTTCCTCAGACGTCCTGAAGTAATCTTCAAACATCAAAAGGACTCTCCTACCTCTGACTTGGATCCCTTTCTTTGACTTCTCATCTTTGAAGTTATGGATCTTTGTTGCTAAATCACCTTTGGCCGAGCGAGTTAACGCTGCCGACAATTTGGTGTCAAGTGTGATAAACTTCCCAGGTTCCTGCAGCTTTTCCTCCAACTTTTCCCTAGGGGTTTTGTTGTCAAAGACTTCATTGAGCCAAAGCCAAGCCTCATCGGGTTTGTCAGAGCACGACTTCACTTCATCCCTGACATGATTACGCCAGTGACGATACGCTTCTGGGGCAGGCATGTCGTTCAGTTTGATAGTCTCTGCCTCCTTTGTTCGGGGCTTTTCACCATCTGAATCCTTTGAAGTCAGTCTAGTGATGAGATCTAGCAATTGTTGACCTGAAAGACCTAAGCCTGCTTCAGCTGCTTTCTTGCCAGGGTCGCTTGCTATTACTGTAGGACTGGGCACACTATGTTCTTGGTTTGCATCATCATCATTTTGTCTTTGAACTGGCAATGGTGGCAGTTTTGGAGGGGCTGCTGATCCGGCAGGGGTTGTTGAGAACAAGTTGCTCAACCTTTCCTTGGCGTCCATGGCTAAGCTACTCATACCAGTGTTTGGCATGGGTTCTGCTCCAGCCTTGGTACCGACCGCTGATTTTGGGGTCATGTACAAATCGACATTGTTCCCGCCTTGTGAATCATCAACTTCAACGGCTCTGTCGACATTGATTTCCGGGGCGCTGTACTTGTTGAGCTTCTCCATCAAATCCTCCACTTGTCCCTGCAATTGGAAGTTGAGTTCAGCAGCTTGGTTTTCCTGCCTACTGCATTCCTCTCTAATCTCCTGGATTACAGCTTGTTCCTCCTTCTTGAAACCTTCCATGCCATTCTTTGCATACTCTACTGTTTCATCCACGATTCGTTTACAGTCTGCCTCGAGGCTACCTCTGAGTTCAGAAAACCTTTGTTCGTACTGGGCTGTAACGTGGGCTACCTTTTGGTTGGCTCTTTGTTCAGCTTCCAGTGCAACTGCATTTGCAGCATTCTTCAGCTTTGCGTTTGCATCGCTAAGTTCCTGTCTCAGTTTTGCTACCTCATGCTCAGTTGCCGTTTGGGACATTGAATACTCTGACACTAGGTGTTCATGTCTGCGATCAGCTTCTGCACGTTGATGGGCGATTTCGCTAAGGCAAATTCCCTCAAACTCTTGGTACAGTTGCTGGACCTTTTGTTCCATGAGATGTGTGTGCCTCTCCTCTGCCTCTTGCCTGAAAGCATCAATGTTACCTTCGTTGATGTAGGTAAGATTGTTTTGCACGAACTGGAAATAGGCTTGCACAGGCTGTGTGAAGAAACCTTCATCCACTGACATGGGCGTGGGGTTTGTCCCAGCCGGCAAGCTCTGCTGAGAACCAGTTGATGCAGCTACAGTTCCAGTAGAGGGTACGAGGGCACCGCCACCTGTTGCATCATGAGTCTTGTCCATGGCTTTAGAGACTACGGCTGATAACCTGTATTTTCAGGTTTCAGCAGGGGATGTTACTTATCCCAACTAGACTGATAAACCTATAACAAATGGGGATAAAACACAACCGCTAAGCCAGCGACCCAGCGCCTTTTGTACTGAGCCGCAATGCTGTCAGATATATCTATAATACATGGTGTTTTACATGGGATGCAAATACAGATTGAAGACGTCACCTTGGCGTGGATAGTGACACATGTTAGCGTTTTTCCAAGGCTTGACAGTTTACACCAGGTAGTGCCTCATGGTTAGTCAAGGTGGTGGGGTTTCGAACTCAATCAAATATCAAAAAATAGGATCTGTGATACATATTTCATATATATCGAATAGTTAATTGGGTTATAACTAGGGGGACAACACGTTGCAGTCAAACATATCACGGTAATATCCAACAAATGAGGATATTTTCCTATAAAACCAGTGACGTTTGGCGAAGTGATGCAAATTGGGCTATTGAAGTTATTACTAGACGCAAGGGTGGCACATGCAATGAATAGATTGGGGATGGATTTCATCACTGAAGCATCTCAAGCCGCCGGACTGAAACGGAAATCTCCAGCTGAACGGTTGGTACCCCCCCTCCAGTGGATCCCATACTAAAGCCTTTCCAATTGATTCTGGTTTGCTGGACATCCAAAGTTGGTTGTGATTCCCTTTGCCGACGTGGTGACGTGTGCAGAGTCTGAACTGGGAAAGTTTTTCAGTTGCCTCCTCGAAAACCATTCCAGTCCCACTGCTGGTTGGTGGTTTCACCCCCTCCGAAAAATATTAGTCAGTTGGGATGATGACATTCCCAATATATGGAAAAATAATCCAAATGTTCCAAACCACCAACCAGCTAGCTGTCTTTTAGCACGACTGGACATTCACACCATATCCCGCTGCTAGGGGATCCACGGATCCAAAAAAAAGTCACCGCCAGATTTTTTGAGAAAAACACAGAGCTGCCAGATTTTTGTTGGCAAAAACAACACCCATGTGAAAAAAGTGGCTTTGCCGATCTGGATCGATCTGGGATGTAGGACCCCGCTGAAAAATTGGGTGAGATATGCAGCACCACTAAAAAAAATGTCCGGCTGCTGCAAATGTATTTGTTCATATTTGTTCCCCTCTGGACACAGCCAATGATCCTGCAATTCTCCAGCTGGTTCATGTTGATTCACTGTCTCAGTAGCTCCCAAAGCCACAGCAATGCGCCCTTCAGGAGCCTTCTTCAGGGACCCAAACTTGGCGATGAACGCATAGGCCAGAGCCTGGATTCCTGAGTCGCATGCGGCAGATTTCTTCTTGTCAATATAGGTAACCAACCAACCAATAAGGGCTATAACTTATAACTAACAAGAATGGGGATATATAGATAACATAGACCCGGGCAAGCCGGCGGCGGAAGTTTCCCAAACATAAATGACCTATAGTTCAAAGACTCCCTGTCCCGACCGTGTCCTTCCCTCGACACTCCACACCTCACACCTCACACTGCACACTGCACTCTTCGCACTCCAAACTTCACACTCCACACTTCACACTGCACACTTCACACTTCACAGTCCACACTTCACACTTCACACTTCACAGTCCACACTTCACACTTCACACTTCACAGTCCACACTTCTCACTTCGCACTTCAGACTTCACACTTCACACTCCACATTTCACACTTCTCACTTCTCACTGCTTCCTTCACACTCCAAACTTCACACTTCACACTTCACACTTCGCACTTCACACTCCACACTTCACAGTCCACACTTCACACTTCTCACTTCACACTTCTCACTTCTCACTGCTTCCTTCACACTCCAAACTTCACACTTCTCACTTCGCACTTCACACTCCACACTTCACAGTCACACTTTACACTTCTCACTTCTCACTGCTTCCTTCCCACTCCAAACTTCACACTCCAAACTTCACACTTCTCACTTCGCACTTCACACCCCACACTTCACTCACACTTCACACTTCACAGTCCACACTTCACACTTCTCACTGCTTCCTTCACACTCCAAACCTCACACTTCACACTTCACACTGCGCTCTTCGCACTCCAAACTTCACAGTCCACACTTCACACTTCTCACTTCACACTTCTCACTTCTCACTGCTTCCTTCACACTCCAAACTTCACACTTCTCACTTCGCACTTCACACTCCACACTTCACAGTCCACACTTCACACTTCTCACTTCTCACTGCTTCCTTCCCACTCCAAACTTCACACTCCACTTCACACTTCTCACTTCGCACTTCACACTCCACACTTCACTCACACTTCACACTTCACAGTCCACACTTCACACTTCTCACTGCTTCCTTCACACTCCAAACACTTCACACTTCACACTTCACACTGCGCTCTTCGCACTCCAAACTTAAACTTCACACTCCACACTTCACACTTCTCACTTCCCACTGCTTCCTTCACACTGCACACTTCACACTGCACTCTTCACGCCCCACACTTCACACTGCTCTAAACCTACGTGCAACAAAAAAACACTAGCGCCAAAATGGAGAAAATCTGCTAACAAATCCATTTCGCAGCCTTCATGCAGCCACTCCAAGACGATTTACGAGATCCAGCTGCAAAAGACATTACGCATGCAGCCAAAGCAAGAAGCAACCTTGACGCAGCCATTCCAATGCGATCTGCGGAGACTGAGTTGCAAAACACAAGAAAACTACGCGCAACGGCGTCGGAAATTGTAGCTCCAAAACCGGATCTCGACGCCAGAGCGAAAAAAAGACGATTTTGAAGCACTTTTTAAAAGGTTTTTTAGAAGGAAAATCACTAGCGCCAAAATGGAGAAAATCTGAACAAATCATGTCGCAGCCTTCATGCAGCCACTCCAATACGATTTACGAGATCCAGCTGCAAAAGACAATAGTATTACGAATGCAGCCACAGCACGCAGCAACCTTGACGCAGCCAGTACAATGCGATCTGCAGAGACTGAGTTGCAAAACACAATAGAACTACGCGCAACGGCGTCGGAAATTGTAGCTCCAAAACCGGATCTCGACGCCAGAGCGAAAAAAAGACGATTTTGAAGCACTTTTTAAAAGGATTTTTAGAAGGAAAATCACTAGCGCCAAAATGGAGAAAATCTGCTAACAAATCCATGTCGCAGCCTTCATGCAGCCACTCCAATACGATTTACGAGATCCAGCTGCAAAAGACAATAGTATTACGAATGCAGCCACAGCACGCAGCAACCTTGACGCAGCCATTACAATGCGATCTGCAGAGATTGAGTTCCAAAACGCAATGGAACTACGCGCAACGGCGTCGGAAATTGTAGCTCCAAAACCGGATCTCGACGCCAGAGCGAAAAAAAGACGATTTTGAAGCACTTTTTAAAAGGTTTTTTAGAAGGAAATTCACTAGCGCCAAAATGGAGAAAATCTGCGAACAAATCCATGTCGCAGCCTTCATGCAGCCACTCCAATACGATTTACGAGATCCAGCTGCAAAAGACAATAATAGTATTACGAATGCAGCCACAGCACGCAGCAACCTTGACGCAGCCATTACAATGCGATCTGCAGAGACTGAGTTCCAAAACACAATAGAACTACGCGCAACGGCGTCGGAAATTGTAGCTCCAAAACCGGATCTCGACGCCAGAGCGAAAAAAAAAAGACGATTTTGAAGCACTTTTTAAAAGGATTTTTAGAAGGAAAATCACTAGCGCCAAAATGGAGAAAATCTGCTAACAAATCCATGTCGCAGCCTTCATGCAGCCACTCCAAGACGATTTCCGAGATCCAGCTGCAAAAGACAATAGTATTACGAATGCAGCCACGGCACGAAGCAACCTTGACGCAACCATTTACACTGCGGGAACGATCCTACAGTTGCAAAGCACAATGGAATTCCATCGGCAACTCATCCACCAGCACCACTTGCAATCCCATTTACATTGCGGGAACGATCCTACAGTTGCAAATCACAATGGAATTCTGTCGACCACACATGCACGAAAAACACTTGAAACCCCATTTACAATGCGGAACCGATCCGAGACCGATCCGAGACCAATCCGAGGATGATCCGACCACACACGAGACCGTCTCGCACCCGTCGCACCGCAGAGGTAGATCATCGAGGTTCGGGGACGGACTTGGTATGGAAAAACATAGGGTTTCGTGCATCTGCTATCTCTCAAAAACGCATTTCGTGCGAGACTTCCTTCAAAACTCCATCGGCAACTCCTCCACCAGCACCACTTGCAACCCCATTTACAGTGAGGGAACGATCCTAGAGTTGCAAATCACAATGGGAATTCCATCGGCAACTCATCCACCAGCACCACTTGCAATCCCATTTACATGCGGGAACGATCCTACAGTTGCAAATCACAATGGAATTCTGTCGACCGCACATGCACGAAAAACACTTGAAACCCCATTTACAATGCGGAACCGATCCGACCATGATCCGAGAATATCCGCCCATGATCCGACCACACACGAGACCGTCTCGCACCCGTCGCACCGCAGAGGTAGATCATCGAGGTTCGGGGACGGACTTTGTATGGAAAAACATAGGCTTTCGTGCATCTGCTATCTCTCAAAAACGCATTTCGTGCGAGACTTCCTTCAAAACTCCATCGGCAACTCATTCACCAGCACCACTTGCAATCCCATTTACAGTGAGGGAACGATCCTATAGAGTTGCAAATCACAATGGAATTCCATCAGCAACTCATCCACCAGCACCACTTGCAATCCCATTTACAATGCGGGAACGATCCTACAGTTGCAAATCACAATGGAATTCTGTCAACCACACATGCACGAAAAACAGTTGAAACCCCATTTACAATGCGGAACCGATCCGACCATGATCCGAGAATATCCGCCCATGATCCGACCACACACGAGACCGTCTCGCACCCGTCGCACCGCAGATGTAGATCATCGAGGTTCGGGGACGGACTTTGTATGGAAAAACGTAGGCTTTCGTGCATCTGCTATCTCTCAAAAATGCATTTCGTGCGAGACTTCCTTCAAAACTCCATCGGCAACTCCTCCACCAGCACCACTTGCGATCTCATTTACATTGCGGGAACGATCCTACAGTTGCAAATCACAATGGAATTCCATCGGCAACTCATCCACCAGCACCACTTGCAACCCCATTTACAATGCGGGAACAATCCTACAGTTGCAAATCACAATGGAATTCTGTCGACCACAAACGCACGAAACACAGGTGACACCCCATTTACAATGCGGAACCGATCCGAGACCGATCCGAGCATGATCCGAGGATGATCCGACCACACACGAGACCGTCTCGCACCCGTCGCACAGCAGAGGTAGATCATCGACGTTCGGGGACGCACTTTGTATGGAAAAACATAGGCTTTCGTGCATCTGCTATCTCTCAAAAACGCATTTCGTGCGAGACTTCCTCCAAAACTCCATCGGCAACTCCTCCACTTGCACCACTTGCAATGCCATTTACAGTGAGGGAACAATTTCTTTGCTAACTCTTTCTGTGACTAACTCTTTTCCTCACTAACTCTTTCTTTGACTAACTTGTTTCTTTGCAAACTCTTTCTTTGACTACCTCATATATTCTGACTAACTCTTTCTTTGACTGACTCTTTCCCTCACTAACTCTTTCTTTGACTAACTCTTTATTTGACTAACTCTTTCCCTGACGAACTCTTTCTTTGCTAACTCTTTCTGTGACTAACTCTTTCCCTCACTAACTCTTTCTTTGACTAACTCTTTCCCTCACTAACTCTTTCTTTGACTAACTCTTTCCCTGACTAACTGTTTCCCTCACTAACTCTTTCTTTGACTAACTCTTCTTTGACTAACTCTTTCTTTGACTAACTCTTTCCCTCACTAACTCTTTCTTTGACTAACTCTTTCCCTGACTAACTGTTCCTTTGCTAAAATCTTCCCTCACTAATCTGGGTTTGAATAACTCTTCCCGACTAACTGTTTCTTGCTAACTCTTTACCTTTCCTCTCACTAACTCTTTCCCTCACTAACTCTTGGTTTGACTAACTCTTTCCCTGACGAACTCTTTCTTTGACTAACTCTTTCCCTCACTAACTCTTGGTTTGACTAACTCTTTCCCTGACGAACTCTTTCTTTGCTAACTCTTTCTTTGACTAACTCTTTCCCTGACATTCTAAAAGTCCGTAACACGGAAGTTTCTCCCCCTAAACTTCCTTTGATTATTAGATATGTGTTTTTGGGGCAGCAAGCGCATGTTTCAATGTGAGATGTCCGGGACGACACGAATAGTGGTAGTGACCCCGTTCGTGAGCCAAGTTGCTTTAATTGAGTAGATTCCGGTTCAGGATTAGATTCATGCTAGAAACTCGAACTAGTTCACAGGGGTTATAAATCAACACACAGAAAACATGGGGGCACCACCTTGTAGCAGTTATAGTGGGTGAATAATGAACATGTCCATGTTTTCTGGGCTCTATACCTCCAACTCCAACAATGGATCTATGCATCTCCAGTCGCCTGGGCTCTGTGTCAATAGGTGGCCTATGTTGCGCTCTTGGGACATGACAAACTAGGTGAGGAAACAAAGCTATTTCTGCTGGATTCTTGGCTATTCTTGCTGGGCTTCCATTTGATGGCCAGTCACACCATGTCTACTCGCTAGAGAGCCCTGCCCTGTTGCATCAGCAGAATCTGAGCCACGGAGACATTTCCATTAAAACAAAAGCCATGGCACCATTCCGGACCAGAAAAGAACCATGATAATCCCCTCCTCCTAATACTAAACGTCCCCCTAATACTAAAAACAGGCATCCATCTCCAATTTCCGAAAATTTCAGTTTGGCCAATTTGACTTTTAATTGATCCCCTTTTAAAAACAATTTAAAAATCAACCTACCATTTGTGGGTTCTCCCCCCTAATACTAAAAACTAGTTCACCCCGGGGTGTTTAGTATTAGGGGGGCCTAGTCCCAATCCCTCACTCCAAGCTGCCTAGCTACTCTAGCAATTAGGGGTAAGCTTCTAACTGCCATTTTTGGCAATATTTTAATTGCGTTATATAAAGAAATTTAATTTATTTTGAGATCGGAAAAAATAGTTTTTAGTATTAAGGGTTTTAATTTAGTATTAGGGGTAAGCTTCGAACTGCCATTTTTGGCAATATTTTAATTGCGTTATATAAAGAAATTTAATTGATTTTGAGATCGGAAAAAATAGTTTTTAGCATTAAGGGTTTTAATTTAGTATTAGGGGTAAGCTTCGAACTGCCATTTTTGGCAATATTTTAATTGCGTTGAATTACTTAGAAATCTGTATAAAATGAATAATCCCTTCCTCCATTCTAATGCATGAATAACTAATTAACATGACTTCGATTTGGTTCCCTAATAATAAATACCCCCCTAATACTAAAAACTACCTGCCGTGTTTTGTATTAGGGGGGGGGGTTTAGTATTAGGAGGAAGGGATTATATTATAGTGATTCATGCTTTATGCTTATAACTTAATACATATCTTATATCATCTTATAATCCTCATCCCATGTTTGTTCCCATCCAAGCCATGCATCCAGCCAGGTCCAACTGCAGGACATCCTCACAGAGCTCCTCGTGCAAGGCGATGTCGTGGAAGTCGGAGTCGCTCAGCTCTACATCCGTGTAGCTGGCGGCACCCGACAACACCCGACGTAGGTCCAACGAGACCTCATCCGCTCTCCGAAACTGACGGGAACCCGTGGAGCTTCAAAGTTTGATGGAGGAAACACGTTGAAACCATCCAGCCAAAATATGTGGAAAACATTGGACAACTTTAAAACGTTAAAAGAAAAGGGGAAAACACGGAAGAACCATAGGAACATTGGGGCCATAGATAGATGGAAACAAGTCTGATTTGTTGTTTAAAGAGAAATGCCAGTAGGATCCAGTAGGCCAAGACTTGGAGGAACCGTGAAAGTTGGGTAGAACAAGTGTTTTGGAACTGGGAACTGTTCACCCCTCGCAAATGCCACACTAACTTCCACAAGTATCGAGGCAAATTTGCGGTGGGAAAAGCCTGCAACAAGATTATGTAAGACGACATGACTATGGAACAGCTGGAACAGCCTTGCTACCCATGTCCAGGAATTTGTTTGAATATGTGCAATTGGGAATTTCAACCTGCAATTTCACATAATCGAAGGAAGTTTAGAAGTGAAACTTCCGACGATATGGACAGTTGAAAAGCAGAGGTGAGAAGAGTCAGAAGAGAAAAGATCAGAAGAAAGAAGATGCAGATGCGCGAAAAGGTAGGAAAGTCGCGAAACACTGTGTTTTTCTAATGATTTGGGGCTCCGGTGGGTCGAAAAGTAGGCTCGCAAGCGGCGGGTGCGGAGCCAGCTGGCCAGATGAGAGATGAAAAAGTGCACGCCGTTGTGGCGCGAAGCACATTTCGAAGTCAAAAGTGTTAAAAACTGGCGGTCTCGGACCACTTTTGGAAGTTGAGATGTCAAAAAAGTGCACGCCGTTGTGGCGCGAAGCACATTTCCAAGTCAAAATGTACAAAACACCTCAGCTCCGGACCACTTTTGGAAGTTGAGATGTCGAAAAAGTGCACGCCGTTGTGGCGCGAAGCACATTTCCAAGTCAAAATGTACAAAAACACACCATTCTCGGACCACTTTTGGAAGTTGAGATGTCGAAAAAGTGCACGCCGTTGTGGCGCGAAGCACATTTCCAAGTCAAACGTGTTAAAAACTGACGGTCTCGGACCACTTTTGGAGGTTCAGATGTCGAAAAAGTGTCTAAAAAGTGCACGCCGTTGTGGCGCGAAGCACATTTCGAAGTCAAAAGTGTAAAAAACTGCGGGTTTTGAGCCTTTTTTGACGTGAAGATGTCGAAAAAGTAGACACTGATTAACTTAACTAACTTCACTAACTTAACTACCTTAACTTCGACGACAACAGCAACAGCAACAGCAACAGCAACAACAACAACAACAACAACAACAACAACAACAACAACAACCAACAACAACAACAACAACAACAACAACAACAACAACAACAACAACAACAACAACAACAACACCCACAACAACTACAACTACAACTACAACAACAATAGATCGATAGATGGAGATAGATAGATAGATAGATAGATAGATAGATAGATAGATAGATAGATAGATAGATAGATAGATAGATAGATAGGATTAGTTTGATAGATAGATAGATAGATAGATAGATAGATAGATAGATAGATAGGTAGATGGATAGATAGATAGATAGATAGATAGGATTAGTTTGATAGATAGATAGATAGATAGATCGATCGATAGATAGATAGGATTAGTTTGATAGATAGATAGATAGATAGATAGACAGATAGATCGATAGATAGATAGATAGATCGATCGATAGATAGATAGATAGATAGGATTAGTTAGATAGATAGATAGATAGATAGACAGATAGATAGAAAGATAGATAGATACATAGATACATAGATACATAGATACATAGATAGCTATTCAGAGAAAGAGAGAGAAAAAGAGAGAAAGAGAGAGAAAGAGAGGAGACCTCAAGCACCTTTCGGTCCATCAGTGGCTTCGCTCTGCCATCCCTGATTCACAACAGCCAATCTCTCGTATAGGTTTCCTATTTTTGAAACTTCCGCCACCGCCTTGTGCGGTACTACTGGTATGTTAATATATGTTACTTTCGCGAACTCGAAAAAAGACTTTCGCAAGGGTTTTCAACATAACATGCACGGCTTTCGCAATTAAAACTCCTTACAAGGACCTTTAGATCGATCACTATATATAATCAAATGCCAGTTGGAATCATACCACTTAAAGGGATGATAAGCACTCTGAAACGACCGACCAAAAGAGAAAGTCTTTGTGTTTCTCATCATATTCATCCTCCAAGAGGTCAGTTGGCTCCCTGAACGTAGCTGAAGTTGGTGGCAGATTCACCACACATTGCCCAGAAAAGAAATGGTCACTTCACTTCTAGTAATGTAGATCATTGATGATTTTAGGATAAAACATCACTTCACATGATTCTCCATCATCGATCATTGATTCAGATTCATGAACCGTGGTCACTTCACTTCTAATCAAGAATCAATTATGGAGAAGTAAAAAACAATCTGAAGCCAGTATTATTGCTCGATAAATCACCCATTTAGACCATTCTACATAATCATAACAACCCCAAAGAAGATGCAGGAAAGTAAATGCGATTCAAAAACTCATGGCAACTTCTTACGTTTCTCGTTTTTTTGGGCTTTAACGGTTTACCAAACCTTCGAAAAAATGGTTCTTTTCCATTAATCAGAAAGGGATGTGTGGTGGTTACCCCTGTGATTATCCCTGTACCCCAAGATGTTGCCAGGTTCATCCAGTGACGCTGCCAGGGTCAAGTTACAATGTTTGTCGTGGTCATCCAACCCCAGACATGACATTTTATTCTCATTTTCATAGGGATATTATAACCCAAACAAAATAAGAACCATGGGACCATGGTGCCCGAAGATAATGCACACCACCATTTACCCGAACAACATCACCCAGTTTTGGTCTGGTTTCTAATGTTTCTATATACCAGCACCATGGGTTGCATATGGGTAATGGATGGTGGAGTTTCACAGGGATTCGCACCATGGCACCGTGATTGGATCCGCCGCTGCGTGTGGCACCTCTCCGCTGCAGGCGTTTTCCTCAGCCCACAGCAAGCCTGGCTGAGATGTGGTGCTGGGGGTTTGCTCAGCCAATCCCGGAGGCAATTTCCAACCAAATCAAAACGGAAGAAACCAGCGATAAAATCACCAGCAATATGAAACTATATCGTTTAGTTGAGATTTAGTTTCTACCGTGTAGGCACACAGAACCTTAGCCCTTGACACAGTGTAAATTATGATCAAGAGGTAGATAGGTAGCCGGCTGAGGAGAAACAAGTTAAGATAAACAGTTTTAAACATTCACAATGCCTTTCACATAGTCAGCAATACTGTCAAACTAACCAGCAATACTGGGGTTATCAACCAACAGTCGTTGTGACGCTTCACTTTGCGGATTTGATTAACCATGAAAAACAACTTGGATTGGATGAGTGAACAACAGGTTGGTCAAGAATCAAAATCATTTGCCATGAGATGCGGAACTTAACAGCATAAATGGGGTGTATAACCAGCCATGATTGATGTTCATTGTTTGCCCCAAATTTTATCGCGTGCATTTGTTAGAACAATATTATGATAACTCACCGTACATTTGGGGTAGGTTACTTTTGGATACACCCACCATGACATATAAGGACTCCCCCAAGTCACCCGAATCAGAATCACGTTAACCGATTGATTCGGATCTTCATAACTTGCCAAGTCATCTATATTGTGCGAATACAATTACCCCAAGAATCTCACATTTATGTCCAGGGATCCCAAAAAGGACATACCCCTTTGTGTTTCCAGGATTTTATAGATGAGGTTTTCCGCATCATATCCGAACTCCCAAGTTTTTCATCTATTATATATAATTAAGTACAAGAAACGATGGATTCTACCAGATTCTACCAACAAATATCGGGATGTTCAATGATTTTCAAGCAGATTTTCCCTTAATCCAATTCTGGGAATCTATTTGTGGGTTGCGATGGCTTTCTTTTCTCCTCCTTTCCTATGCAAAAAAAAACATGTTCTGTAATGTCCTTTTCTGTCGCTCTTGTGTTTTAAGGAACAATGTTCAACTGTTCCATGGCTCCTGCTCTTCAAGTCTTTGCCAGCACAAAAAAATACGTATTGCCAACTGTACATGCGCATATCCACATCAACCTTCTGTAGCGTAGCAACAACGAAGTGTGCATATCCATATCAATGTTCTCTATATTGCAGCTTGCGAGTAGCAACAAATGGGCGTGCATATTTACATCACGTTCTTTAGCAGAGCGCCAGCTATGTGTATTATGTGTGCATATCCACATTGAACATTCTCTAGCGTAACACCAAGTATACGTGCATACGCACACCAAGACCAGCCCCGCACCATCTCACCACCTGGTCCCTCCAAAATTGCCTCCTGAAGAAGACTCCCCTCATTTTTTTTCGGAGGGGACCTGCTACTAATCAGTATCCGACATTCTTCACTTAGAGATCACATCTTCACATCTAGTTTCTAATCATCATTTTTTGGTCGTGTTAATCATCCTTTTTTCTTCCCATCAAGACCCAGTAGTTTCACTGGTTGGTGGTTTCAACCCCTCTGAAAAATATGAGTTCGTCACTTGGGATGATGAAATTCCCAATATACATATATATATAATATAAATATATATATATATATATATACACTATATATATATATATATGGAAAGTCATGATCCATTCATGTTCCAAACCGCCAGTTCCGCAGTTCATGTAGTAAAACCACGAATCTTCCCCATCCGCCGCGCCTTCCCGATGTTCGCCCTCCATTTCCTCTGAATCCAGCAGCTCTGGCGGCTCCTCCACGTGGACCTCCGCGGCTCCTCCACTGGACAGCCTTGAGGTCCCCTTTTCGGCGCCTGGAGCTGTCACCCATGGGGGAATGGGAACCCGCAACCAGACCTGCCTATATATACCACCTATAAAAATTGTGATTTGGAGGCTTGATGAATGTTGATGAAATTGTTTTACCATGTTTTACCTACATTATTTTGTTTTGGGATTGGACAATTTGGCAACTTTAACATACGTCCACCAGCAGTTGCCAACGGTTGTACCCAAATTCCATTGGGTTTTTACATATTATTCAATCGTTAAATCTTCAATCTTTGATGGTCACATTGCAATGTATTTTGCATCTTCTTCATTGGTTGATAAAACCTTTTCTGATAGACCCCCACTTTTGATCCCCGGTTTTTGAATGCATCCTAGGACCTCCAAAGTAACGTAAATTTACATGACGTTGAGTTTCTGCCCTAAAACCAAGGTTTACGCTCGTGAAGGAAACAGCGTTAGTTTTTGAAAAATCTGCGCGTGGCGTCACAGGTTTTACGAGCCCTGGTTTTGCACTTTTCTCTGCAAATGGTATCGGGGTGTTCAGACAAACACAAACAGACATGCGTGAGAAGTCTTTTGGGGTTTAGAGGTAACCTTTTTTGGGATTTGCGCCCATTTACACTTTTTTGCGCCGATTTGCACCTTTTTTGCACGAAGTTTTTGATCGTTTGGGTTTTGCAAAAAATGTTCATCCCTGGAGAATTGCACACATTTAATGACAAGTAGCCACGGCTCAGATAAAAGTAGGTAGCAGGCTGAAGAGTGAGTTCTTTAAAATCTTTAAATGCGTTGTTGTGAGCAAACGCGCTCGATTTGCAAAATTGTGCTCGGAGCAAGTTTTTACATCACGAAAAGGTGATTTAGGTGACGACTTGTTGATTTAGGCATCGAAAGGGTACTGGGGCACAAATTTAAGTGACGTTGGAGGTTCCTGGATAGTTTGGGAAAACCTTCCCATGATCTCCACCTCTTCTGCGTAATAGCTTAATATCCCCACCCTTGATGGTTACAAAATTCCACACCTCAACCAAAATCCCATCGGGAGTCCATTCTTGATAGATCACTACTGTATTTTTTTGGTGGTTACTGCACCATTTCTGATTCATTCCATATCTTAACCAGGCGCAATCCGCATCCCTATGTTTGATGGTTGTACAGGGTTGCTTACAGTAAGTTACAACTATCGCGGATAAATCTGTCCATCATCTCCTTACTCCAACCCAAAGTCCATTATAGTTAAATTTCCATCATTCAGTTGTTTTACCACCCGTTTTTTTTGATGATTGGTCTATTGAAGCAGACATTTCGGGACAAACCCATGTCCGCGATTCAATGCTTTCCCAACATTGTTTGTAACTCCATCATTACCATCTTAAATCCCCTCATTGTTGATGGTAACACACCCGTGTTGGCTGGTGAATCTCCCCAATTCTGACGGACTTTGATGATTCAAATGCAAATTCAAGAGAATCTTATAGAATCTTTAGCCGCCAAATACCCATTTTTATCCAGCAACCATATACACGGAGCGTCGGGGCAACGAGCAAGGTACCTTCTTGAGCGTTCTCCAGCATTGAATGTGAGCCGACCAACTTTTTGTCGAGTCGATTCGAACTGGAGGAGGATGGACCATGTCCTGATATCACGACTGTCAGTCAAGACACATTGAATATCTATACTTAATATACTGTAGTTTTTGATTGTTTAAATATATGATAATATAGTATGAATATTGTAACATTGAAATATGCTTCTGTGCATGCCATCAAAATATGTGTGTGAACATGTCTGGACACTAAAACTAAACATCTCATCGCCCCAAAAAATGGGATCAAATGGCAATGTTTGTCCTGTACTCACACGCATTGGTCGTTGTTGGTATCTTCAATGGTTTAATAACAAAAGGACATAAACATGATTTACCCTCTGGCAATTTAACGAAACTATTGAAAATGGCCCATTTATAGTTGATTTATCTATCAAAAATGTCAAAAATGGTGATTTCCATAGCTATGTAAACGTTTACCAGAGGCTAGATGTCCCGAAACCACAGATCTTGGCCATGGATTGCATCAATTGTCCCAGTTTCGGGGCGTGCGGAGACCAACGTTTGACCCCAAAACTGAACACAGTTCCACATGGCTGGGTGCTGCAGCGCAGCATTGCATTCCCCAATATCTATGGCTTGACATCAGCGGAGTTTGATGGTAAAAAACACACCACTAAAATTAGATTTAAGTATAAGAAAATCATATCATATCCAACATAATGAACCATAATTCATACATAATAACTACTATTGTATATGCAGTATTAGATTAGTTTAAAGCGTATATTAAACAATTAAACGCTAATTAAACATGTATTTGATACATAATTTAAAGTTTATTTAACAATTAAACGCTCATTTTCAACATGTATATATATATATATATAATCGATTCACCTTGATTCACACCATGTTTTACGGCCCACGTTTTCGGCCATGCGCGCCATGCCGAGACGCGTCGCATGGCCGCGTCGGATGTGGTGGATCCCGTGGAGCGGACCGAGGCCGTGGACGAACTGCGGAGGATGGCCTGGAAACGACATGGGATCATCGCTATGGAATAATGATAATATCAAGGGATTTATAGGATTTGTTATATGGGATTCTATGGGATTATTAGGGTTATATCAGTTATATGGGATTTATAGATTTAAATCACTACAATGATAATAATGATAAATAATGAAAAACAAGGTATATAATGGGATTATCAAATAAAAATAATCATAATAATAATGATCATAATAACAATCGAAATGGGATTTTCAATGAAAAAACATTATATATAATGATAATAATGATAAATGGTATATAATGATAATATAATGGTAATAATAAAACAGGGTTATATCATTTATTAATGGGATTTATAGATTTATAGGATTGTTATATGACTTTTGTAACTTATATAGCTACAATGTGAGGCTCCCGTTCGATAGCTAAGTTGGGGCTCACATAACTCCAATTTCACTATGGTTTATGGTATTTATAACTATAACTACAGTTACTGGGGCGAATCTAAACCAACTCATGTCTTGGGGGCCTCACATTGTATGGGTTTAAATCAATGAAAAAACATGGTAAATAATCATCATCATGATAATAATGGTAATATAATGTATATAATATAATATAATATAATATGTGTTTTCATGGTTGGGAATAATATTGCGGTACTAAGATTGTTCATGTATGGTAAAAACATGTTGTTAAAATGGTACAAATAAACAATGAAAACTGTGGTTAAATCAAGGTACAATCATGGTGAACTAAGAATGGTTAAGACAGTTGATATGTCATGGTATGTCATGATATGTCATGATGGTTAATAAGGGTTAATCCGCCAACCCCGGAGAAGAGTAGAGTACAGAAGGGTAGACAGCAGTTTTTGTAGAGTAGAGAAGGAGAAAGTCGAGTAGACAAAAGCAAAGTCGAATAGAAAAAATACAACAATCATCCCTGTTGGAATTCCCCTGCTAGCATGGACTCCTGCATTCTTTAAACAAAAAATCTAGAATGGAGACCCGCATCTTGAACGCACGCAACAAATCCAAGGAAAATGCTTCTTGCAAACTTGCAAAACAACCAAATGTACAGCATCACACAAATATGTGGCGAACCGGCTAGGTTGCTGGACGCCCCAATTGACTCCAATTGTTGACGCCATAGCTATTTTTTGTTTTCATTCACTTGTCCAATGCCTTTGGGTTTGTGGCCGGTTTGTTCGAAGCAGGCTTCTCAATGCAGCTAGCACATTGATCCCGATACATCCCGAGCAAATCAGCCAATCGTCTCTCAGTGAAATCATGGTCTCTTTCTGCCAAGAAATAGTCGCTCTTCTTACTTTACATTTTGTGATGTCGGTCATCCGCTTGCCAGCACCTCGTCCTTTCCCATTGTCACGGTACATGGTCGGGTCATGTTTTTTTGATCCTGGATCTCGTTGAAGCAAGCACGAGCCTCCGGAGTCACTTCACCTTCCGCCAAACCGTGCAGTGCCAAGTACTCTTTCAGCTTGAACTGCCTTGCAATCAAAGAGGTGTTCCAGAAGGCGCTTTGCCACGTGAGTCTTCGCTGTCCAAGGGCACATTTTGCGATGGAACACAAGCTTCTGATCTACCAAAATGGGACCAAAATTGTCACCCAAGAAGGAAAGCAAAGAAGGCTGCGCGCCTCGTCAAACTTCTCTATACCGCTTCTTCGAATGTCAGCGGGTCTTAGCCAGGGTACTCTGCTCTCAGTCTCACTTTCCGGCGAAACAGTGACCATTTACATTTTGAAAGCCCCTCAAAATGTAAATGGATAATTTCTAGCTGCCGTTGGTACTCCGGCCAATGCTGCAAGAAAACAACAAGACAGAAAGCCAATTACATGTTTTAAAGCCCTGAAAATGTAAATGGATATCAGCCTGCTTTTAGAATTAGCAGTGGCAGTTACGCCGAATTCTATTACCGAGTTACTCGGCAGAAGCCATTTACATTATTGGAGCTCTCAAAATGCAAATAGAGTTCTTGGCCGTTAATTTCTGACGCGATTGCCATTTCGGCTTGTCCATCATCTGAACAATGCAACTCCGACATGGTGACCATTATACCGTCAGGAACGTACGGCTTAAGAACGCCCGTTCCCGAATGTACCGTCGGAACGTACCGACAAAGTATTCTAAGTGCGTGGCACCTCAGTCTTAAGTTGGCTAGACCAAACCCTTACCTATATATACAGAGATTTGTCCCTCATAATGTCATAAACCCTAGTCAGCCTAGGAGAAAATCACAATTTGCCTATCGTTTGGAGATCCATAATCTGTCAAATACCTTCATGGCTTGCTTTCTCATGATTAGCTAAAATACCAAATAATTCAGAAGGAAATATGTAAATAATTATACACACAAGTTATTACAATTTCACGTATTTCATTTAATCTATCGACATTAGGATGGCACTACGTTCACTTAGACTGGCAGAATAGTTATGATCAGCCACCAGTTCACCCAGGCGAACTAGCTGAGCCCGCCTTATGACCAAAGCTTCCTTCTCTGCTCGGATGTGCCAATCCTCCAACCTGGTCCGAGTAAGTAGGTAACCCTCAACAAGCATAGAAAATCCATAGAAAGGTATTAAAATATCGTGAAATCCTACTAAATTAATGATATATGACTGATAAATGGTTCAAAATGTTTTTGGTGTAAATATATTTATATATATATGTATACATATACATAAATATAAACTATATCTGACTGGAAAAAAACTGATTCACCAACCTGACTAAGTCTGATTTTTGGGATAAACAAATCCCAATCCACTCACCATCATTGTAGTGGTTCGTCACGACGTGAGTGAGGTCGTTATCACTCACCCACATATTTAATATAGTTCAAATAGTCAAAAGATATCAACTGTGTATGTATATATATATATATGTATATATATATATATATTGAATAAACCTATAGATGTCCGGTTGACACCCTGCATTGATCTACCATGAGTTCCTACATACACTTCTGGAATGGGTGAACTAGCCCCGTCCTGAGTCTTGCTGGCAAGCGCTGCCACCAAAGTAGGAAAACCAAGGAATGCCAATTGTGCCCTGGAAAACGCATGACAATGCCCAACCAAAACATATCCTACTATATCCTACTCTTCTATTGAAACCAGTGTGCTACTAGACTAAAGATCACCAACCTCTGGCTAATCACCCGACACATGCAGTCCTTAAGGGGGCTTGCATCTCCAGAAGCAGAATGTCCCGATGCTGGTCGTACCTGACAAGTTTGAAGTCCGGCTTTGAAAGCTAATGAAATCTCTGAAACATCCGAGGTGTGACTTAAACTTTCAAATCATGCAGATAGAACTATATAGTGCATATGGAGCCCTTAAGGATCCTTAAGGAATCTTTGCTTCCATCAGCAACAACGGGGGCCTACTATCTGACTTTCCCAGGGTAAACCAAATTACAAACACATACTCTTACCAGTAGTACCGCACAAGGCGGCGGCGGAAGTTTCAAAGATAGGAAACCTATAGGAGAGGTTGGTTGTTGTGAATCAGGGATGGCAGAGCGAAGCCACTGATGGACCGAAAGGTGCTTGATCTCTCTCGCTCTCTCTCTCTCTCTCTACCTACCTATCTATCTAGCTGTCTAGTTTTGTAGCTATTTGTCTTCTATCTATCTATCTATCTATCTATCTGTCTATCTATCTATCTGTCTATCTCTCACTTTCATCTAATTACCTATCTATCTATCTATCTATCTATCTTTTTATTCAGCTGTCTCTCTATCTATTTGTCTATCTATCTATCTATCTATCTCTCTCTCTATCTATCTATCTATCTATCTATCTTTTTATTCAGCTGTCTCTCTATCTATCTGTCTGTCTGTCTATCTATCTATCTATCTGTCTGTCTATCTATCTATCTATCTGTCTGTCTGTCTGTCTGTCTGTCTGTCTGTCTGTCTGTCTCTCTTTCTATCTGTCTACCTGTCTATTTATCTACCTATCGACCTATCGACCTATCTACCTATCTACCTACCGATCTATCTATCTATCTATCTCTCTCTCTCTCTTTCTCTGTGTCTGTCTATCTATCTGCCTGTCTATCTGCAAGGTTGAAAACCAAGCTATTCTGCGAGATGTCTTCATTTTCAAAGTTGACAATATCAAAGACGAAGCAATTCTGCGAGACTTCCCCAATGTTTGAACTTAACAACCTCAAAAACGAAGCAATTCTGCGAGACCTCTTCTTTTTGCAAAGTTGACAACATAGAAAACGCAGCAATTCAGCGAGATTTCCTCCATTCTTGCATGTGACAACATCAAAATCAAAGCAATTCTGCGAGACTTCCTCAAAAATGGAAAGTTGAGTGCAGCGCTGACAGCCGCGTACCAATGCGTTTTGCGATTTTTCCACTCCACCTGTGTAAAGTACTGCGCCTGCCACGAAAAATTGATGCCAGGTCATACGAAGTGCTGCACCTGTCACGCAAAATCATCTCAGCAAACCTGAAGATCTGATACTCCAAAATGCAACCCCTCTCACGAAATGAGCGCCCTGACCTCCGAACATCTCTCATGAACATGTCTTTTGTACTGCAACTGCCACGCGAAATGCATCTTTGAAGATCTTCTTCAAATGCCCCACGCCTGCCATCGTTTCTGGAAATGCTGCAAAACCCTCACGTTTTGCTCACCATTGACAAGGTGCACAATCCTTTGCGCCTGCCACGCAAAACGACATCTGAACCTCCAAAAGTGGCGCGAACATGTGGTGTTTTGTACATTTTGACTTCGAAATGTGCTTCGCGCCACAACGGCGTGCATTTTTTCGACATCTCAACTTCCAAAAGTGGTCCGACCATG